GATGAGAACGACAGAAAACCTGAACTGGTTTTTAAATGAACAAAACAACAGCTTTGCATGAGTATCACCCTTTTTAATACATTTCGTTGACGTCCACTGCATGAATTCTGCACGAATATGACGTGAAACCTCCTAATGCGATGCCTCATGGACTGGAGAACGTGAACATATGAAAACAAGACGCTATGGGAGCGTACATTTTGGCGTCGATGTGCTACGCGTGAGTGAAGTTTTTAATGTGTATTAGGGATGTGTGAATAGTGCAGTAGCGTTGCATATTTTAGGGGTTGGTAGAGAAGCGCTTGTAGTGGAAGGCGTAGAGTTACACTGGACGTGAATTGGTAGGATAATGGCTGTAGTTTGTTAGTCAGTGAATCTTGTTTGTCGTAGAATTTAATATTAAGTCACAAAAAATAATAGGTGTTGCAGTGAGGTAGTTGTGGAAGTGCTAATTTGGTTACGAAGGGATAGTGTACTTACAGTGTGTTGAAATAAAGTGGTGCTTGTGAAAAGTCTTATCAATAGTCGAAAACATACTTGTACTTATTTTAAACGCTGTTAAGTTTTTTGTTTAGGATTGCTTTTCGCTTTTTCTTTTAAATATTTGTATCTAGAGAACATGGATTAGGCCAAAAGTTCATTTAATATAGAAAAGAAGATGTTGAGGCGGGAGGGCTGAAGTTTTAAGTGTGTGCTCGGGAGCTTTGAAAAATCGGTGAGGTCAAGGGGAAGGCGTAAAATTTGCCTATGGACTTAGGGCCTGATTACATGCGCCAGGCTGGCCCACTTTGCAGAAAACCCGGCACCTTAGTTAAACGCAACAAAATCAAATTTGCGATTATATGACAACCGAGCCAGCCCGGTTAGCTGGGATCCCAGTATTGTGATGCCGGGATCCGGGTGGAAATTTTCCTAGTAATCACCCTTGCCGGGCGGCCAGGGGAATCAATCAAGCGAAAAACAGGACAACAGGTAACACACCGTTCATGGGCATTGCTTTCCAGGCTCATGTGATCAAGCCCTTATTGTGAGTTGTATTTTCACGCAGTTTGCACGTGAAAGCTTTGGAATTGCCGTTTTTGTGGTTCGTGAGTGAGAGAATACGACTAAATCTAATTAACCCAACGGTTTTGAAAATAGAACACGGTTTTCACGTGAAGATGTTGGACTGTGCGTCTGGGTCCAAATAGACGAGATGAAGTTTGAAAGGACGCAAATTCCTTTTTAGCAACGTTTTACTGCTGTGGTAGTCGTCGTTGGTTAGAGGAGCTCGTTAGTTGTTTTCAGGTTCAATCGCCATGAACAAAGATTTGCAAAAATTACCACCACAGCTGTATAAGAGAAAGATGAAAATTTGTTATGATTAGGGTTACAATTACATCGGAGTTGTAGTAGCAACGAATTGACGCTACTGGCTGTTTCACTTGCAGCCGTATTTCTCAGCACTGGGAACTGTTCTTCCAAAATGGTTCACGGGAACTTTTTCCTCCAATAGCCGCCTCGATATTCGAAAGGCCTTTAAGGCGTTATCGAGATATTTTGGGATGAAGTTTTTATGGTTAGAAATATGGTAAAAACTGGACAATCTATCCCGGTCAGCCAACCTATAGCCTTGCTATAGCCAAGACAACTCGTAATAAAAATCTTCCATTAAATATAAATTGAAGAAATGGTTAAGGTAGTTATGCGGGCAATTCATACAACAGTTAATTAAATGCCCGAAAAATATCAGTGCTTGAAGCCTGGCTTCTTTTCAGTTTAATTGCCTGCATATAAACTACGATGGTCATTTCCCTATTTAATTTCATCTGCCTAGTTCATATATAATTTATTTCATCTTGACTTCTAAGGAAATTTCAAACGTTCAACACAGACTTACTATGGCCATTTATCGCTACAAAGTGTTTGAAATCCTGTTTGAAGACCCACACCCGTGGATGACAATTCCTACCAGGCGCGTAGCAGGGGCGGTTCGAGGGGTTCGAACGAACACCCTTTGCAGGCCAATGATGGAGGATAGTCCTGTTGTGAGTTGATAATTAAGTAGCCCATGTTGTGGCCCCAGTATATCCTAGTGACCTAGTATTATATGTAGTCAAAATAATCCCGCTATTATATTTCCTTAACAGGCGTTCCGGATTTGACAATTGGAGTCTCGAAAGACGAAAGGCCGGGAATACGATTTTGGGGGACCTAGGTGATACTTGTTTAATACATATTGACGTTTGACGCTGCTTTCAGTACAAAGACACCGGAGCCGGGGAACTGGGGGCTTAAGCTTCTGCTTCGACCTTGCAGTACACGTCGAGTTTTCTGCTGAAATGTTTCGTGTACTTAGCCGGTATGTATCACTATGTATGAATGTTCCAAGTCAAACGGAAATATTGTTGTTAAGACTAAACGTACCTGTTATTTTCCACTTGATCAAGTTTGGAATATTCACGTGGAGACTACTGAAAATAGCATTTCCAGGTTTCTAGATTTCAACATTTTTGGGGGGGAGCAAGTTGCCCCAAGAAACACCTAGGGGCTCGCGCCTTTGGCACTGGCAGTATTTCCCGCTTTTAAGAAATATTCGTATCAGTAGGGCCATTTATACGAGGAAAAATAAGACGCGTCTTACATAAGACGCGTCTTAAATAAGTCGCGAACTGTACCATTTATACGAGCATGTCTTATCTAATAAGACGCGTCTTAGCTAAGCCGCGTCTTATTTTAGACGAAATGTGCCGTTTATACGGAAAGTTCGCGTCTTATTTAAGACGCGTCTTATGTAAGACGCGTTTTATTTTTCCTCGTATAAATGGCCCTATTGTTTCTCAGTTTGTACAGTCGAATCTTCATGTGCGATCACTTGCCACAAGCCACCTAGCCTGCGTGGCAAGCTGTCGAAAGGGAAGGGGAAGGGAATTGGCGCGCGCTCTCGCGCGCCTAAAACGCCTGCCACGCAGGCTACAAGCCACCATATATCCCGGCAAAGTACCAACATTTTCCTCAGTCAAAGCCCTGTGGTTAGCGACCACCTTTGGTAAGCGACGGCGACCACTTTGACGGTGACGATTTTATTATCTCCCATTGTTTTTAGCCTCTCTTGTCTCATCTCTATGTTCTCAGTATGTACTACGCTAACAAAAATATTCGAAGAACTTTTAGTGATCGGTGACAACAAGTGACTACACATATCGTAACTTAGAAGCTGCATGAAATCAGTTCTTTACCAAAAAGTAGATATCTCGGGACCTGCTTCTCGAGAGAGACTCTTGTAGTTTGATTCTCGTATTAAAACGACCACCTGCTAAATGTTCGCATTTTGGGTGGGTGCTTACGGGAGGTTCGGCTGTATTCGCAATACAGAGGACTGCAACCAAGACGCTACCAGCCTGAATTATTTCAGGTCCATAAGGTGTGGTTACACCCAGTTAGGCTACATGACAAGTGTGGATCGTGTAATGAAAGGCAGCAGGATTGTTGAGGGAGTGGTGGGCGCAGGCGTCCCACAAAATATAGGCCATTTTCGGGTTCCCTCAAGCGTCTGTTTCAAAGCGAGGCTAATTACGAAGCCATTGATATGTAATTGTTTTTATTTTATTGTTTATTCTCATGCAATAAAACTCATTATAACAAGAAAGGTTTTGCGTGAAGCCTCGTTTAAAAGTAAAGGTTTTCGGAACTCGGAAAAGTCCTATTGATTTTTGGTAATAGGCTGTTTGGTCCTTTTTACCCTGTAGCATGTTTAACCTGTACTTAAGAATGTAGAATTTAATAAATTCAAGCAATGTAAAAGGTGTCATTGTTTCTCAGTTTGTACAGTCGAATCTCCATGTGCGATCACCTGCCACAAGCCACGATATATCCCGGCAAAGCACCAACATTTTCCGGCATGTGCTAAAACCCAGATGATACTGGTAAAAATGTCTGTAAAAATGGTATCGTCCATCGTATATCGTCCAGAATCTTTGGTCTGGATTTTAGTACATGCGACATTTATTTACCTGGTAAGCGACCTCGACCACTTTGACGGTGACGATTTTATTATCTCCCATTGTTTTCACAGTCAAACCAGGTCAAGCGTACCCCCCAAGAATCCATTAATGAATTTATTATTCAAAAGTTGAATCCGTTACTAGTTGTAGATTTCAGCACAGGTAGCCCAAGCTCGAAATATGAGCATCGGCGAGCATCGGCATTGTTGCGTAACATTCAAAATATAAGGATTTGTATGGGAAAAAAACCTATCATTTCTGTATCCTACGAAAATGAAAGGATTTCAATAAAAAACAGCGTACCTTACTTAAAATGTGTGTTACATCTCTCCTGTGTGGTCCACGGGCCGATTTATGGCCGATTTATGGGTTTTTATGTAAACGGCTTTCTCTTTATATAAAGGTAAACCGTTAAACCTTCCTTTTCCCTTCTTCCTTTTTTTTTCCTTTTTTGTTTTGTCTTGTTTGCTTATTTGTTTTGCTGTTTTTTTTGTTTTGTTTTTAAATATATACTTAAATAACTGTTACTAAAGTGCAATAAACAGCAAGAAAAGTATTGTGTTTCCAGAACAAGGATAGTATATTTATAATATGAATTTCTATCATTTCCTAAAATTCTCTGTGGGAAAACCAGAGGTGATAACTAATTGACTATTTTCTAAACAACGTACCCACGAGTTGACTATAGTCTTTCTTTGATTCAAATAATCAATTCACTGACAGAATCTTGGGGGGTACGCTTGACTTGGTTTGACTGTATAAACCTCTCGTGGGCGACCAATGTCTATCTTTAACCTCCTAGAAATGGCTAGACCGTAGAATCAATTGTACTCATTTAGAAATGCGACACACAAAGAAGACATAACGTTTATAAAAAGAGATCAATGACAATATTTTCCACTTTGGTTTTCGTTCACTGCTTTCTTTGAACTCGCGTGACTGAGCGGCGTCATGATTATCGCGTGACTAGATGCTTTCTTCTTCCCCTGGGAGCTTCGCCCAGCCGTCTCAGTCGACATGTTTAGCGAACTGCCTCAATTTTTGTTTTCCCTTCAAGGCTTTCTATTGATGATAATTCTTGTTGTAACGCTGTACGTCATTTCTTGCCTTTTGTTCCCTGATGTTTCCGTTTCTGATTTGGAGAAGAAAGCCGTTCTTATCACGGGATGCGACAGTGGTTTTGGTTACGAGCTCGCAAAGAAGCTCGATTCTCGAGGTTTACAGGTTTTTGCTGGGTGTCTAACTTCAGACGGACAAGCAAAGCTGAGAAGTGAATGCTCTCGAAAACTGACCACATTACAACTTGACGTTACAAATGCGAGCGACGTGCAGAATGCTTTGAAAGAAGTAAATTCCCACCTGCCTCCCCAAGGTAAGTGAAAAGAACACGCAATCGTTTAAACAGTGGAGGACTCTGCGAACATTGACGAACTGAAATTATAGCTCTTGAGCAATTTCTTGCCACCGAAAAATGTCAATTAATTATGCACAAGAGGAGATTTTTGCGGCCGTTTACACACATCTCTGACATCTCCAGTTGATCTGAAAACATTCATCAAATATTACGTAATATTGGGGCAGGCCGGTATGGCCCATCTCCGATGAGCTTTTGCTTTTGAATATCTGTATCACTTTGAGGACTCACCGTTTTTTTCTTACCTTTGAAGAATTCCATAAAATTGTATTCACCCCTGAAGACTACCATAAAATAATTGGATCAACCCCTGAAAATGCCTGAAAAAGGTACTCTTTTGGGGGAACCTCCCTCTATGGATCAGTATAGGGCCGAATAACCCCCCACTGAGGTTTGGTTGGTCCCAAGCCCTTCTACTCAGGAACCTGCAGCTTGCAAACAAATGCATGTAATTTTATGCCCTCCAAGAAAGCACTTTTATAATAGTAAAGATCTTATATAAAATGCACAAGGAAAGGAGGGTCCTGAAGGTGTAAAATGGGAATTGGGATTTGGACTGGGAAAATGGGATTTGGTTGCTGGGACTGGGATTTGAGTGAGAAAAAAAGGCAAAATGGGAATGGGATTGGTGTTTTGTTAGCATATCAGTGGGATCGGGACACTGGTTAGTGGGATTTGGAAAAAAATGGTGGCTGGGAAACGGGATTGGTAACCCCCCTTCAGGACCCTTGGAAAGCAGTAGTCTGTTCCAGGCTCTCAGATAGGCCTAGATACAAATATCGCAAAAAATGACCTAAATTTCTTTCTAGAAGTTCTCATAAAATTCCTAAATTTCTTAAAAAATCTTCTAAATTTCTCAGAAATATCATTTTTTTCTAATGTTAATTTGACCCATTTTTGGCTTTATATCAATTAAAGAAATGAAAAAAAATATATACATTATTATTTGAATAGCAAAAGATGTGTATTGCAGGGCCTTCTCTTCCTCTTTGTTCTTGTTCACTCGCCTGTACAATTTCCACTTCGATAACTTCCGCCATGTTGACTGATTGATTCCACGTGGCGTCGAATTAATTGGTAGGTACTTTGTATATGGTGCATCTTATTGTACTGCAGAATAAATCTGCTGAATTGGTAGTATCGCTGGCTCGTAAAAGGACACGAAATTAATATAAACTGTTTTTTTTGCTCTTATGAAGTATCTTTTTTGTGATAATTGCTCTAAATATCACTTTTTTTTCTAAATTTCTCAATATTTTCTAAATTTCTCAAAAACTTCTAAATATCTCAAAAAATATCGCGATATTTGTATCTAGGCTTACTCTCAGATGGTAGGGATGACCTGTAAGTGAAATGCACGCAAAAATATAGGTGCGTGATCTGGGAAAAGGTGGGGGAACAGTAAAAAGTTTCCTTCCAGTTACGTCTCCTCTTCTTTTATTTTTGTGTTTGCACTTTCTCAATTTCGGGGACCAGTCTATGTCGGAGCCTGGAACAACCCAGGAAAGCAGTAAACATGCGGTGAGTGTTTTTTTGCAGTTAAAATAACATGTCTTGATGTACTTTTAGGTTTGTGGGCTATAGTGAACAATGCTGGGATTGGACCTGTGGGTCTTATTGAATGGCAGAATGTAGAAGAAATGAAGCATGTTCTTGATGTCAATCTCTGGGGGATGGTATCAGTGACCAAGGCATTCTTGCCACAGCTTAAGAAAACCAAGGGACGCATTGTTAATGTAGCTAGTACATGGGGAACAATTTCGCTCCCCTCTGTAACAGCATATTGCATATCAAAGCATGGTGTTCAAGCATTTTGTGATTCTCTGCGTCGAGAGGTAAAGCAGTTTGGTGTTTCTGTTCACATTTTGGACCCTGGTATGTTTAGAACCAACCTGGCAAATAGTGAAGTGGCTATAAAGCAGGTAGAGAGGTTATGGGCTAACCTTGATGTGGACACAAAGAAAAGTTATGGAGGAGAGTTAAATTTAGGTAAGTAATATATAGATTTAGCCAAGGCCCAAAGCGAAGCTCTCGTGTGAAGTTTCAAGAGCTCTTTTAAGAAATGTGCTCTTTCTGAAGTAAAGTTTTCCGAGTCTTCGATCACTTTATTACCATAACTGGTCAGCGGAGAACTTTAAAAAACATGTCACCTAAAAGGTACAAAGGTAAAGCGACCATATTTTACGTTGATAACTCGTGACAGTAATAGTAACGGATATTAACTTGAGGTCGACGATGCGCTCATTTTACAGGGGCCCTCTCTCCATCAATGCTCCGTTTTAAGGGTATTTAAAGCTAGTCAATTGAGCTACACAGAAAGGAGAGAGGTTAAAAGAAGGATGTGGTGTCACCGGGGCCGGGGATCGAACTCGGGACTTCATGTACCAAGGAATGTGCACTAACCAACTGTGCCACCCTTAGCTTGCTCACCTCATTGAGTTGTACACCTGAGCACCTGAGATGGACGAGCTCATGCAAGAGAGTGTTCTCTCTTGGTTCATCATGAATACCCAATTTTCTTACCTGAGGTGCTCTGCTCTGGCCTGGGAAAGCCGTGGGGGAGTAGGGTATGTGTCTCATTGCTCGCCAAAGCCGTGATCGCCAAAACACAAAATCCCAGAAAGATATCCCAACGAAGCAAGAAAGATTTTCTCCAGATCATAAGGGTTCCGTTCTAGGACCGACCTTATTTTCTCTTTACACAAGTGATTTACCTGAAGCTATAACCACTGCGACAACCTACATGTATGCTGATGATACTACTTTGATTCTATATTTCTCAAAGTAAACTTAAGCTTAAATATTAACTGTTGTCTTTCTTACCTTGGACAATATATTACCCACTTTCCAGACATGTAAGCATATTTCTTTGCAAGTCTCTGAACGTAATAGTGGCTAATTCCCCCCGGCTTTTTTATCCTTTGTTCCCACTCTTGCAGAAGCGTTGTCTTTTGGGGTTCGGCTATGGCGTGTGGGTATCGGAACTCTCTTGGACGCTGTTTTGGATCTCCTGCAACGACTCCTGTGTTAACGAAATCAATTTTAGTAGGCTGGTTTTTGTCAAGAAAGTCATCAATGGTAACGTCGCCGTCGTAAACGATCCAGTCCTCCATATCTGTGCCACAACAGACAGCTGTCGCCAGGACAAAATACGTCTTCGCAGTTTTTCGCAGTCTAAGCATCCTCGAAGACCCACAGGTCACCCAAGCTCAGGAGTGAGAGTCGTTGTTGCAACTGGGTCTAAGTCATTTATGGTTTTAATAAACTATGGTTTAAGATATTCCCGAGGAACGATATATGGTGGAGTAAATTAAAGTTTAAAAAATTTGAAAAAAGAAATCTTAATTATTTGGTCACGTGATCGACCACGCCCTCCACTGTTCAAAAATGGTAACCAACGATTCCCACATTCCCACCACTCCACAGGCTTTCCCAAGGCTAAGTTTATGGGGATTGGGGAACTCGCGAGCACGCGAGAAGCGCGAGCGAGAGATGATCGGAACGGGAGCGTAGAGCGCGAGCGGGGAGTCATTCCCTTCGTCCCCGCTTTTCTCAATAATTAACTCAAATATTCCCTAGTGATCGCGAGCGACTGGGGACGAGGAAGCCACTTGCCAAACGAGTAGCTCGAGGCTCGAGTAGCTCCAGTTTCTCTGTGTCAAAACATTGTCCCTACAAAGTGTTTCCAGTCTTCCTCTAACCAAAATTATCGACAGGAGAAAGACGTTTATTGACCTCGCCTCATTCCCTTTTTTTTTTTCGAAAACACTATTAGTAGCCACTTTTTGGACCTACTAAAGGAAAACGGTTTGCCCTCTATCTGGTGGGAACTTCGACTCAAAGAATTTCTCGATAAAACAGGGCGCGGCTGGTACGTGATCCACATCTACATCTATTTAGTCACTCTTCAACGTTTTACTCATCAAGAAGAGTTAACAAATAAAAGTGTAAATAAAAAATTCAGACTAAAAAATAACTACATCTATTGATGCAGTTACAGACAATTTTTAGAATGAAATTGGAGAATTTCTTGGTTATGATTGACCTTAAATTTTCAGTCATGAGATATCTTGAAAAATGCTTTACATTACACTACCCCCCTTTTAAAATCTGTAACGCTCGCTTTTCAAGTCCCGTGGAAGATCCCGCGGGTAGCGTTCTAGATGCCATGCGATTTCACGCCTTGGGTAGCCTGTTCACAGACCCTCCATTTTCTCTTAAAAGTCCGCCGAGCGCGCTCGCCGATTATCGAAAAGAAAAATAAAGAAACTTCTGTGTGCAGGCTACGGTTTGGGCGCCATCTTGGACTGGCTGGCTGCCACAACTGGCTTTGATCTCACGTGTTCATTATTTTTCTTGCCCGGGGACTGGTATCCATCAATCAATAACTTTATTCAATCAGTAACTTTATTTAAATTCAATTTTGAAAGCAAGGGCCAACTTACAAAAAAGAAGGACCGGATCCTAATAAACGATCTAATCAGCAATAAGTGAAAATATTAAACAAAAGAAGCAAGACTGATTTTACATTCGGGAATATATATAATTTTTACCAATATTTCGGAAGGCACGGCCTTCCTTCTTCAGGGTCTTACATACAATGAGGCTCTACCACGACTACCTGCAGGACTACCACGACTACCGCGACTACCTTAACCAGTACCCACCACGACCAGCGCTCGGTACAACTACCACTGCGACTACCACGACTACCGTAACTACCATGGCTACCGAGACTACCAGGACTACTGAGACTACCACGACGTGTGTTCAGTACGACTACCAGCACTACCAGCATTATCAGCGCTACCCGAGACTATCAGCACTATTCAAGACTACCACGGCTATCTCCGCCACTGTTACCATATCGTCTTCTGGCATCGTTGTTGCAGCGACTTCCCCGAGTGACGTCAAAATCGTGACGATAGTAACAACACATTGCGCATCTCTATCATGGCAATCTGCCACTTGTCATCCTTGCTGTTACTTGAATTATATCTCTCTTGGGGAAGGGAAATATCTCTCACGGGACACAAGCAACTTAAAATAACCAAAAAGATTTCTTCGTCTTTCGCGGTTATTTTCCATGTCGATTTTTCTTTAATATCATTTAATATTCTGAAATCATTAAATCTTATCTTAAACCGTGAAAAAAATATGCCTGAAAAATTCATGCCAGTTATGACGTAAAGCGTCCTTGCAAACGGTGCATGTTGACTTTTTGTATCCGGAAAGAAAAAGTTGCGGATTTAAAACATCTAGATACGTGTGGACGTGGAAATTTTTGTATCCGGAAAGAAAAAGTTGGTGGTTCGAAAATATCCGGATTCGTAGAGACAGGGCCTATGCAATTAACCACGATGACGACGATGAGAACGACAGAAAACCTGAACTGGTTTTTAAATGAACAAAACAACAGCTTTGCATGAGTATCACCCTTTTTAATACATTTCGTTGACGTCCACTGCATGAATTCTGCACGAATATGACGTGAAACCTCCTAATGCGATGCCTCATGGACTGGAGAACGTGAACATATGAAAACAAGACGCTATGGGAGCGTACATTTTGGCGTCGATGTGCTACGCGTGAGTGAAGTTTTTAATGTGTATTAGGGATGTGTGAATAGTGCAGTAGCGTTGCATATTTTAGGGGTTGGTAGAGAAGCGCTTGTAGTGGAAGGCGTAGAGTTACACTGGACGTGAATTGGTAGGATAATGGCTGTAGTTTGTTAGTCAGTGAATCTTGTTTGTCGTAGAATTTAATATTAAGTCACAAAAAATAATAGGTGTTGCAGTGAGGTAGTTGTGGAAGTGCTAATTTGGTTACGAAGGGATAGTGTACTTACAGTGTGTTGAAATAAAGTGGTGCTTGTGAAAAGTCTTATCAATAGTCGAAAACATACTTGTACTTATTTTAAACGCTGTTAAGTTTTTTGTTTAGGATTGCTTTTCGCTTTTTCTTTTAAATATTTGTATCTAGAGAACATGGATTAGGCCAAAAGTTCATTTAATATAGAAAAGAAGATGTTGAGGCGGGAGGGCTGAAGTTTTAAGTGTGTGCTCGGGAGCTTTGAAAAATCGGTGAGGTCAAGGGGAAGGCGTAAAATTTGCCTATGGACTTAGGGCCTGATTACATGCGCCAGGCTGGCCCACTTTGCAGAAAACCCGGCACCTTAGTTAAACGCAACAAAATCAAATTTGCGATTATATGACAACCGAGCCAGCCCGGTTAGCTGGGATCCCAGTATTGTGATGCCGGGATCCGGGTGGAAATTTTCCTAGTAATCACCCTTGCCGGGCGGCCAGGGGAATCAATCAAGCGAAAAACAGGACAACAGGTAACACACCGTTCATGGGCATTGCTTTCCAGGCTCATGTGATCAAGCCCTTATTGTGAGTTGTATTTTCACGCAGTTTGCACGTGAAAGCTTTGGAATTGCCGTTTTTGTGGTTCGTGAGTGAGAGAATACGACTAAATCTAATTAACCCAACGGTTTTGAAAATAGAACACGGTTTTCACGTGAAGATGTTGGACTGTGCGTCTGGGTCCAAATAGACGAGATGAAGTTTGAAAGGACGCAAATTCCTTTTTAGCAACGTTTTACTGCTGTGGTAGTCGTCGTTGGTTAGAGGAGCTCGTTAGTTGTTTTCAGGTTCAATCGCCATGAACAAAGATTTGCAAAAATTACCACCACAGCTGTATAAGAGAAAGATGAAAATTTGTTATGATTAGGGTTACAATTACATCGGAGTTGTAGTAGCAACGAATTGACGCTACTGGCTGTTTCACTTGCAGCCGTATTTCTCAGCACTGGGAACTGTTCTTCCAAAATGGTTCACGGGAACTTTTTCCTCCAATAGCCGCCTCGATATTCGAAAGGCCTTTAAGGCGTTATCGAGATATTTTGGGATGAAGTTTTTATGGTTAGAAATATGGTAAAAACTGGACAATCTATCCCGGTCAGCCAACCTATAGCCTTGCTATAGCCAAGACAACTCGTAATAAAAATCTTCCATTAAATATAAATTGAAGAAATGGTTAAGGTAGTTATGCGGGCAATTCATACAACAGTTAATTAAATGCCCGAAAAATATCAGTGCTTGAAGCCTGGCTTCTTTTCAGTTTAATTGCCTGCATATAAACTACGATGGTCATTTCCCTATTTAATTTCATCTGCCTAGTTCATATATAATTTATTTCATCTTGACTTCTAAGGAAATTTCAAACGTTCAACACAGACTTACTATGGCCATTTATCGCTACAAAGTGTTTGAAATCCTGTTTGAAGACCCACACCCGTGGATGACAATTCCTACCAGGCGCGTAGCAGGGGCGGTTCGAGGGGTTCGAACGAACACCCTTTGCAGGCCAATGATGGAGGATAGTCCTGTTGTGAGTTGATAATTAAGTAGCCCATGTTGTGGCCCCAGTATATCCTAGTGACCTAGTATTATATGTAGTCAAAATAATCCCGCTATTATATTTCCTTAACAGGCGTTCCGGATTTGACAATTGGAGTCTCGAAAGACGAAAGGCCGGGAATACGATTTTGGGGGACCTAGGTGATACTTGTTTAATACATATTGACGTTTGACGCTGCTTTCAGTACAAAGACACCGGAGCCGGGGAACTGGGGGCTTAAGCTTCTGCTTCGACCTTGCAGTACACGTCGAGTTTTCTGCTGAAATGTTTCGTGTACTTAGCCGGTATGTATCACTATGTATGAATGTTCCAAGTCAAACGGAAATATTGTTGTTAAGACTAAACGTACCTGTTATTTTCCACTTGATCAAGTTTGGAATATTCACGTGGAGACTACTGAAAATAGCATTTCCAGGTTTCTAGATTTCAACATTTTTGGGGGGGAGCAAGTTGCCCCAAGAAACACCTAGGGGCTCGCGCCTTTGGCACTGGCAGTATTTCCCGCTTTTAAGAAATATTCGTATCAGTAGGGCCATTTATACGAGGAAAAATAAGACGCGTCTTACATAAGACGCGTCTTAAATAAGTCGCGAACTGTACCATTTATACGAGCATGTCTTATCTAATAAGACGCGTCTTAGCTAAGCCGCGTCTTATTTTAGACGAAATGTGCCGTTTATACGGAAAGTTCGCGTCTTATTTAAGACGCGTCTTATGTAAGACGCGTTTTATTTTTCCTCGTATAAATGGCCCTATTGTTTCTCAGTTTGTACAGTCGAATCTTCATGTGCGATCACTTGCCACAAGCCACCTAGCCTGCGTGGCAAGCTGTCGAAAGGGAAGGGGAAGGGAATTGGCGCGCGCTCTCGCGCGCCTAAAACGCCTGCCACGCAGGCTACAAGCCACCATATATCCCGGCAAAGTACCAACATTTTCCTCAGTCAAAGCCCTGTGGTTAGCGACCACCTTTGGTAAGCGACGGCGACCACTTTGACGGTGACGATTTTATTATCTCCCATTGTTTTTAGCCTCTCTTGTCTCATCTCTATGTTCTCAGTATGTACTACGCTAACAAAAATATTCGAAGAACTTTTAGTGATCGGTGACAACAAGTGACTACACATATCGTAACTTAGAAGCTGCATGAAATCAGTTCTTTACCAAAAAGTAGATATCTCGGGACCTGCTTCTCGAGAGAGACTCTTGTAGTTTGATTCTCGTATTAAAACGACCACCTGCTAAATGTTCGCATTTTGGGTGGGTGCTTACGGGAGGTTCGGCTGTATTCGCAATACAGAGGACTGCAACCAAGACGCTACCAGCCTGAATTATTTCAGGTCCATAAGGTGTGGTTACACCCAGTTAGGCTACATGACAAGTGTGGATCGTGTAATGAAAGGCAGCAGGATTGTTGAGGGAGTGGTGGGCGCAGGCGTCCCACAAAATATAGGCCATTTTCGGGTTCCCTCAAGCGTCTGTTTCAAAGCGAGGCTAATTACGAAGCCATTGATATGTAATTGTTTTTATTTTATTGTTTATTCTCATGCAATAAAACTCATTATAACAAGAAAGGTTTTGCGTGAAGCCTCGTTTAAAAGTAAAGGTTTTCGGAACTCGGAAAAGTCCTATTGATTTTTGGTAATAGGCTGTTTGGTCCTTTTTACCCTGTAGCATGTTTAACCTGTACTTAAGAATGTAGAATTTAATAAATTCAAGCAATGTAAAAGGTGTCATTGTTTCTCAGTTTGTACAGTCGAATCTCCATGTGCGATCACCTGCCACAAGCCACGATATATCCCGGCAAAGCACCAACATTTTCCGGCATGTGCTAAAACCCAGATGATACTGGTAAAAATGTCTGTAAAAATGGTATCGTCCATCGTATATCGTCCAGAATCTTTGGTCTGGATTTTAGTACATGCGACATTTATTTACCTGGTAAGCGACCTCGACCACTTTGACGGTGACGATTTTATTATCTCCCATTGTTTTCACAGTCAAACCAGGTCAAGCGTACCCCCCAAGAATCCATTAATGAATTTATTATTCAAAAGTTGAATCCGTTACTAGTTGTAGATTTCAGCACAGGTAGCCCAAGCTCGAAATATGAGCATCGGCGAGCATCGGCATTGTTGCGTAACATTCAAAATATAAGGATTTGTATGGGAAAAAAACCTATCATTTCTGTAACCTACGAAAATGAAAGGATTTCAATAAAAAACAGCTTACCTTACTTAAAATGTGTGTTACATCTCTCCTGTGTGGTCCACGGGCCGATTTATGGCCGATTTATGGGTTTTTATGTAAACGGCTTTCTCTCTATATAAAGGTAAACCGTTAAACCTTCCTTTTCCCTTCTTCCTTTTTTTTTCCTTTTTTGTTTTGTCTTGTTTGCTTATTTGTTTTGCTGTTTTTTTTGTTTTGTTTTTAAATATATACTTAAATAACTGTTACTAAAGTGCAATAAACAGCAAGAAAAGTATTGTGTTTCCAGAACAAGGATAGTATATTTATAATATGAATTTCTATCATTTCCTAAAATTCTCTGTGGGAAAACCAGAGGTGATAACTAATTGACTATTTTCTAAACAACGTACCCACGAGTTGACTATAGTCTTTCTTTGATTCAAATAATCAATTCACTGACAGAATCTTGGGGGGTACGCTTGACTTGGTTTGACTGTATAAACCTCTCGTGGGCGACCAATGTCTATCTTTAACCTCCTAGAAATGGCTAGACCGTAGAATCAATTGTACTCATTTAGAAATGCGACACACAAAGAAGACATAACGTTTATAAAAAGAGATCAATGACAATATTTTCCACTTTGGTTTTCGTTCACTGCTTTCTTTGAACTCGCGTGACTGAGCGGCGTCATGATTATCGCGTGACTAGATGCTTTCTTCTTCCCCTGGGAGCTTCGCCCAGCCGTCTCAGTCGACATGTTTAGCGAACTGCCTCAATTTTTGTTTTCCCTTCAAGGCTTTCTATTGATGATAATTCTTGTTGTAACGCTGTACGTCATTTCTTGCCTTTTGTTCCCTGATGTTTCCGTTTCTGATTTGGAGAAGAAAGCCGTTCTTATCACGGGATGCGACAGTGGTTTTGGTTACGAGCTCGCAAAGAAGCTCGATTCTCGAGGTTTACAGGTTTTTGCTGGGTGTCTAACTTCAGACGGACAAGCAAAGCTGAGAAGTGAATGCTCTCGAAAACTGACCACATTACAACTTGACGTTACAAATGCGAGCGACGTGCAGAATGCTTTGAAAGAAGTAAATTCCCACCTGCCTCCCCAAGGTAAGTGAAAAGAACACGCAATCGTTTAAACAGTGGAGGACTCTGCGAACATTGACGAACTGAAATTATAGCTCTTGAGCAATTTCTTGCCACCGAAAAATGTCAATTAATTATGCACAAGAGGAGATTTTTGCGGCCGTTTACACACATCTCTGACATCTCCAGTTGATCTGAAAACATTCATCAAATATTACGTAATATTGGGGCAGGCCGGTATGGCCCATCTCCGATGAGCTTTTGCTTTTGAATATCTGTATCACTTTGAGGACTCACCGTTTTTTTCTTACCTTTGAAGAATTCCATAAAATTGTATTCACCCCTGAAGACTACCATAAAATAATTGGATCAACCCCTGAAAATGCCTGAAAAAGGTACTCTTTTGGGGGAACCTCCCTCTATGGATCAGTATAGGGCCGAATAACCCCCCACTGAGGTTTGGTTGGTCCCAAGCCCTTCTACTCAGGAACCTGCAGCTTGCAAACAAATGCATGTAATTTTATGCCCTCCAAGAAAGCACTTTTATAATAGTAAAGATCTTATATAAAATGCACAAGGAAAGGAGGGTCCTGAAGGTGTAAAATGGGAATTGGGATTTGGACTGGGAAAATGGGATTTGGTTGCTGGGACTGGGATTTGAGTGAGAAAAAAAGGCAAAATGGGAATGGGATTGGTGTTTTGTTAGCATATCAGTGGGATCGGGACACTGGTTAGTGGGATTTGGAAAAAAATGGTGGCTGGGAAACGGGATTGGTAACCCCCCTTCAGGACCCTTGGAAAGCAGTAGTCTGTTCCAGGCTCTCAGATAGGCCTAGATACAAATATCGCAAAAAATGACCTAAATTTCTTTCTAGAAGTTCTCATAAAATTCCTAAATTTCTTAAAAAATCTTCTAAATTTCTCAGAAATATCATTTTTTTCTAATGTTAATTTGACCCATTTTTGGCTTTATATCAATTAAAGAAATGAAAAAAAATATATACATTATTATTTGAATAGCAAAAGATGTGTATTGCAGGGCCTTCTCTTCCTCTTTGTTCTTGTTCACTCGCCTGTACAATTTCCACTTCGATAACTTCCGCCATGTTGACTGATTGATTCCACGTGGCGTCGAATTAATTGGTAGGTACTTTGTATATGGTGCATCTTATTGTACTGCAGAATAAATCTGCTGAATTGGTAGTATCGCTGGCTCGTAAAAGGACACGAAATTAATATAAACTGTTTTTTTTGCTCTTATGAAGTATCTTTTTTGTGATAATTGCTCTAAATATCACTTTTTTTTCTAAATTTCTCAATATTTTCTAAATTTCTCAAAAACTTCTAAATATCTCAAAAAATATCGCGATATTTGTATCTAGGCTTACTCTCAGATGGTAGGGATGACCTGTAAGTGAAATGCACGCAAAAATATAGGTGCGTGATCTGGGAAAAGGTGGGGGAACAGTAAAAAGTTTCCTTCCAGTTACGTCTCCTCTTCTTTTATTTTTGTGTTTGCACTTTCTCAATTTCGGGGACCAGTCTATGTCGGAGCCTGGAACAACCCAGGAAAGCAGTAAACATGCGGTGAGTGTTTTTTTGCAGTTAAAATAACATGTCTTGATGTACTTTTAGGTTTGTGGGCTATAGTGAACAATGCTGGGATTGGACCTGTGGGTCTTATTGAATGGCAGAATGTAGAAGAAATGAAGCATGTTCTTGATGTCAATCTCTGGGGGATGGTATCAGTGACCAAGGCATTCTTGCCACAGCTTAAGAAAACCAAGGGACGCATTGTTAATGTAGCTAGTACATGGGGAACAATTTCGCTCCCCTCTGTAACAGCATATTGCATATCAAAGCATGGTGTTCAAGCATTTTGTGATTCTCTGCGTCGAGAGGTAAAGCAGTTTGGTGTTTCTGTTCACATTTTGGACCCTGGTATGTTTAGAACCAACCTGGCAAATAGTGAAGTGGCTATAAAGCAGGTAGAGAGGTTATGGGCTAACCTTGATGTGGACACAAAGAAAAGTTATGGAGGAGAGTTAAATTTAGGTAAGTAATATATAGATTTAGCCAAGGCCCAAAGCGAAGCTCTCGTGTGAAGTTTCAAGAGCTCTTTTAAGAAATGTGCTCTTTCTGAAGTAAAGTTTTCCGAGTCTTCGATCACTTTATTACCATAACTGGTCAGCGGAGAACTTTAAAAAACATGTCACCTAAAAGGTACAAAGGTAAAGCGACCATATTTTACGTTGATAACTCGTGACAGTAATAGTAACGGATATTAACTTGAGGTCGACGATGCGCTCATTTTACAGGGGCCCTCTCTCCATCAATGCTCCGTTTTAAGGGTATTTAAAGCTAGTCAATTGAGCTACACAGAAAGGAGAGAGGTTAAAAGAAGGATGTGGTGTCACCGGGGCCGGGGATCGAACTCGGGACTTCATGTACCAAGGAATGTGCACTAACCAACTGTGCCACCCTTAGCTTGCTCACCTCATTGAGTTGTACACCTGAGCACCTGAGATGGACGAGCTCATGCAAGAGAGTGTTCTCTCTTGGTTCATCATGAATACCCAATTTTCTTACCTGAGGTGCTCTGCTCTGGCCTGGGAAAGCCGTGGGGGAGTAGGGTATGTGTCTCATTGCTCGCCAAAGCCGTGATCGCCAAAACACAAAATCCCAGAAAGATATCCCAACGAAGCAAGAAAGATTTTCTCCAGATCATAAGGGTTCCGTTCTAGGACCGACCTTATTTTCTCTTTACACAAGTGATTTACCTGAAGCTATAACCACTGCGACAACCTACATGTATGCTGATGATACTACCCTATATTGCATTGGCGATTCTATCGACGCAGTAATTTCTGAACTTAACAAAGCTTTGGGAGAGCTTCTATACTGGTGCAAAACAAACTCCCTTGTGCCTCATCTAAAGAAATGCGAAGCAATGATCCTCCATCGTGGCCCATTGAAAGAGTTAACGTTGGCCCAGCACACCATCAAATGGGTTACACACTCTCGTCTATTAGGCGTATTGATAGATGATCAACTAAACTGGTCTAAACATGTTAGTGTTGTTAGAAAGGCTTTGTTCATAAGTTAAACTTGTTAAAACGTAGCAAATTATTTCCAAAGAATATGTTATTAGACTTGTATTTTAGAGTTATTATGCTGTCGATCGTATATGGTATATCAGTATGGGGAGGCCTCACAAATAAGGAAGGTTTTAAGGCATTAGAAGCACTACATTGTAGAGCTGCGAGAATTATCTTTGAGCTACCTCGGGAGATGTCTAATGCAGATGTTATGAAAAAGGCTAATTGGTCTTCTTTAGCCTTTATGTATAAAGTTAGCTTAGCTAAGCTTATGTATAAAATACACAATAACCTGACTCCATATGCTATGTCAGCTATTATTAAGAACAATGATAACATCAAGCGATATCAACTTAGGAAGAAACTGAAAATTGATGTCCCTCGTTTTAACACCAACTACATGAGGAACTCTGTAGCTCGTAGAGGAGCAATAGTTTGGAACACGTTGGTTCCTCAACTTAATGACGATATAGACAATGTTAAGAAATATGCGATTATGGCAAGACGGTCAAAGGCTCTGCTACACCTAGATTTCGACTGTATCTCCCCTCAAACATTAACCAGAAGGGAGGAAGATTTTAAGTATAATTAGTGTTAATAATTAGTCGATACTAGAGTACCACCTTGTACTTTAGAATTTTAAGCTTTTATCGTTTTAGACTTGTAAGTAGTAAGTAGCTATATGATTTTAGCTGGTGTATATCCTATTTATTTTCTAATTTATTAGTTATCTTATCTAATTATTTAGACACGACCCCACAAGCGAAGCGTCGCTTTAAATACTTATCATGTATAAATAAAGATTATTGATTGATTGATTGATTGCTGCATTGTGCATGCAAGAGCTCAGCTATCACTTTTTTTTTGACACCTGACACTGATGTTGGTGAGCCACAACCTTATTTAATTATGCTTGGAAGAAGGTTAAAATAACCAAAAAATCGAAAAAGCAAGAATAAGAAAATTAACTGAAAGCTAGTCTGTGAACAGCAGCCCCCTTCCCTCAAACAAAATCTCCAGATTTTGTTTGAGGGAAGGGGGTGGGGTGGAGGGGGAGGGGGCTTATGCACTTAAAGGCTTAATTAGTGAAAGTCGACCAAGACTGCTTAATTCTGTAAAGATTCCAGCAGAAAAACCTCAGTTGAGATTCATTTGAAAATGAAAAGAGGGATATGGCAAAAAAAAATTATGTGGACATTGAAATGGTGATACATCATAAATGGTTGAATTACAGCTTAGAAAAAAATAAATTTAAGTCACCTGTCCATTATATATGCACATACAATCGTGCGTATACATGTACAGCTGAAATATGGAAAGAATTATTTTTTCATTTCCTGGAAAAGCGTTTTTTATCATTAAATTGGGATGACTGATACATTTTTCGCACTGTGTTGGTGTGTTTGTGTCAGTATATTTCTTTTATCCTTTTATTATTCCTTAATCCTGGTGGTGTCAGTGGCCTTTTTCTTCCGTAAACACCGTACCTTACTGACAACACTAGCTAGAGCTGAGTAAAATAGAAAATTAACTACTGCATTTTCCTGCATATTAATTTACTGAAAATGTCCTGCTGAAAACGCTGGAAATGGTATAATTTTCTGAGACCCTAAATTTAAAAATTTTCTGGGTAAGCATGCCCTCAGCCCCCTGGCCCTTGGTTGGCTGCCTTCGGCGCTACAAACTTTCTCCCCGTGTGCATACACCTTCAAAATCTCATGCTACGCCGCTGCCTAGGACTAAATTGTTATTTTCATGATTAATAATTAATGATGAAAATAATAATTTAGTAATTTATTTAATTACAGAATTATTATACTGTTTTACTCACTAGAAGTGGAATAATTTTGTAACGGATGGTTTGTTAATGTCCATATTTTACTTAATCTTCCCTAGGAAAGGTCATGTATGCTGGTCAGTTTATGTTTTTTCTGTCACCACATATTTACAAAGTGGTTGATGCAATGACGCATGCTGTGACATCCACTCGACCTAAGCTGCGGTATGGAGTAGGATGGGACCACAAATTCTTTTGGAGGCCTCTTTCTCTTTTGCCATCTGAAATACAAGATTTAATTCTTCCTCCTATGCAAGCACACAAAGGAGCTCCGTAAATCATACTTAGTAATGAAATATTAAACTAAAGAGGGATTGATTAGTAAGTTTCGCGGCGCTCTTGTTAGCGGTTTTGTAAACATTGGATTGATTTTTTATTAACACTGTCGTTTTATAAGGTCACCTTTGAGTTTCAAGATTATTATGTTTTGTATTAGGGACCGGTCATTATTTATCGCCTGGGGGGGGTCGGAGGATTTTGGGCTAAACACGATGAAATTTAGCCGATCCCCCCTTTAAGTGTTATTTTATTGAAGTGATCCCCCCTCATAACTATATATAACTTTCGTGATCCCCCCC